CAAACTCTCCAGCCTGATCCGTAACGGCCATATCTGAATCTGTACGAAACTTAAAATCCTCGTGATCCACATATATCCAAGACTCCACGAAACCTGCATCGTAAGAAGATACTCGGGGATATCGTAACACATTGTGGTATGAGCCAATACTGGCCATACAATCATAGAGTCTTCTCCACTACTGGAAACATAAACCAGAAAAGAGCCAAGTGGAAACATTAGCCATCGCTGATAAGAAACGACATTAATAGCATGGTAATTGTCCACAAAATTCTCTTGGATACCGTTTACTGAAAGCCTCGTAGAAGTCAAACTACTCAAAAAAATATCCCATTTGATATACCTTTTGCAGTACTTTTCTCTGTGTACAAGAGGATTTACACACGTGGATATATCAAATAAATGACGATGGCGTGGGATGACATATGCAATTCCTGTCATGATCCATGAGAAAATATGCAACCACATGTACAAAAGTGGCTGTAAAACAGCTTCATCCACGTCAAAGTGAAAAGCTGAGCTAAAGAAAAATAGCACCAGATGGGTTGATCCTTCACCGTCCGACACGTGAAGTGAAGCAATTGTAAGCATGGGATCTTCAGCTATAAGAATCAACATGTTTTCTCCAAGCTGTTTCTAACCAAAACATACAAGGTTCCTAACAGAAACATGTTCCTCATGAAGAACGACAACAACAATTTGTTGGAAAACGATCTTGTACCTCTGTTGCATCAGTGGCCAAGCAAACAACCCCTCATATATCTCACACGATGATGTTCTTTCCTCTCCATAGTGTAAATAACTCTGTTTTGTGCTGAAAAAAATCTTCCTAAACAAAAGCCATTCCACAAGCTCACCATTGTTTTCTCTGTTTATAACCACACTTTTAATATGATCACGGATCTGGTGGCACTTTACCTTTGTGCCGATGTATTTTTTCTTTCCATAAAATACAATCCAGACGTTGGTGTGCCGTAACAATATAAAAATCATCATCACTCTTGTCAAATACAGGAACACATTCCAGTTTCTCTAGTATTATTTATCTCCCATGAGTTGCTGGAACAAAGACAGTATGTGAACTTGATGGACCTCCTTGATAACCAAGACCAGTCGTGGTCTTCTCTGTTCTGGCCATACTTAAAATTGTATCTAAAGTTGTAGATCCCTTGTTTAACATCCAAATGTTCCTGCGTATTTCACTCAACTCATGGTCCAAAGTCTGGTTTTTCTCTTGCTCTAAGAGAAGAGCTTCCTCAAGTTCAGTGATCGTTGCCGTCAAAATTTTTGTATCCCCTTGTTCAGCCTCACAACCTTGGTGTTGAACACGATCTGGTGGCTCGTGATTGATTCGTCGGTAAGAATTCTTTCTCCACACACCATAATTCATATGTTTCTGCTGCAAATCCACAAAAGTATTGTCGTTTCTCTCTTTGCAGGCTCGAACAAGTTTTGGGTTATCACTGACAATTTGATCTTCTATTCTGTTGAACATACTGTCCTTAAAAAAATTAATTTCTTTCCACTAAACATTGCAGGCGTCGTTTGAAATTGAGGAGATTTTTTCTCGAGATGAAAGTCACATATGACCCCATTACTTGTTGCACACGATTCAGGAGGAAACGTTGAGGTTTCTCGAGCATAGAATGGGTCATTGACGTTCAACCTTTCAATATCCACTTTTTACGTCTCATCCTCATCATACAAGTCATAAATTGGAGCAACAATTTGCTCTTCAAATAAGTCCGCATTGTCTTTTGCATCGTATTTATCAAGTACATCACATATTGGAAAAAATTCTGCCTCGTCATTATTAATCACATCGAACATTGGGTCACCAATCTCACCCACGCAAGGATCTTCATTAATTTTTGTGTCTTCTTTGCGGAATAAGCCATGACTTGAATGAACAGTTTGATCAGAATAATTTTCTCCGTCTTCTTCAAAAATTGGATCACCAATTAGACCAACAAAAGAGTCCTCGTTGTCTCTTGTGCCATACCCTTTTTTATCCAAGTCTGACTTGTCTGTGATTGTGTTGCTGCGGATAGGGGGATGATGACGAAGGCAAGCCAAAGGATTTTGGTCTTCCTTAAATTTGTCGTTGTTATCAGCTCGGTTGTTGCGTTTATGGCGAATCACTGGGGCTGTGCGCCGTCTCGTTTAGTTTTTCACTGCTGTCACAAGAATTGTGATTTGAGCTTGAAGGTCAGCTATAGATTTTTTCGTGGCTGGGGTATCGTTATCAGTTCTCTGACAACGACGAGTATAAACCATCGTAGCGGTTGAGAAAGTTTCGGAGCGTAGTAGAGCTCTGATACCAACCTGGCGCAGCGTACGAATGGGTGAACGGTCGATTTAAGAATTTAGGGTTCTTTGAGACCTGGTCTTGGATCGATCAAGAGTTACTTTCGTTAGCAAGACCAACTTCCTCTTTGATGAATTGAATCGAATCGAACCAGGTATAAAAAGCAAAGCTCTTTTATTAAAATCAAACGTACCCTTACAAAATAGTTTAATGCCTTCTTAAATAGAAAAATTAAACGAAAACCCTAACTTGATAAATAAGCTAAACCGACATAAAATAATTAAGTCCAAAAAAAATCCCATAAACACGTTTCCTTGTGATCGTGTAAACGACGTAAAATGCGCTGCATCAATAGTCCCATGGAGCTTGTTATTCTCATTTTAGTATAGTTTTTATAAATATGTGTGTTCTTGTATTTCATCTCGTAGTATTTAATTTTAGTAGAGTAAAAAAAAAACCTACTATACTCTAACATTATATAGTTTTCATCTAAATTCTGTTAAACCCTAAACCACAAATTCATATTTTATATGTCCACTTGATAACCAAAAACTCTTAATTAATCTTGTATCAAATATTAAACACTGTAAAATATAAATTACTAAACATTTCTATAAAAATTTAAGAGAAAACAATAAATCTAAAATATAACCCTAAAGTTACATACATCTTGAATTTTTTGGTTACCAAACCATAGATATTGTCCAGCACATGGTTACCAAATCAAAATATATTCATAAAAAAAATCAATTGTATTAAACTTTAATCTATATATCTTATTTTGGTTCTTATATTGATGGTTTATAATAAATTCACATAAATTATTTTTTTACATTTTAAATTAACACTAGGTTAGGATCCGCGCCTTGCGCAGAATGAATGTTTTATATACATTACTTTTATGTATTATATGTTTTTTACATATTATAAAATAATAAATTTATATTGATAATATAAAATTCAGTAACTATTACGTATATAATTAAATTGGTGTAACAATATAAATATTTATTTAATAATTTAAACAATTTTTTTCTTTTTTTATGTGAAATACAATTAAGTTTAAATGATATTATCGTAGAAATATAATAAATTTTAAATATTGATATCGGTTAAATTATAGTTATACTCATATTATTTTATTGTTCATTTTATATTTTTATAACAAAAAATTTTAAATCACTGATAACAATTTTTTGTGTGGGATGTTTAACAACTTTTAGTAATTTATAATTTTAAAACATTATGAAAATTTTAAAACTTAATATTAAGTTGTCAATATTTGTTCAAAATTTTTTTCAAAAAAAAAAATCAAAGAAAAATATAAATTAAAATACATATATATTTTTATATGGTACATAATTTATTTTGAACAATATATATATTAAATGAGACTTCTTACTTATATAATTTTGTAATCATTTCTATTTTGTTATAAAAAAATTAACTATGGATCACAAAAATTTTAATGTGAGATTTTTTAACAACTTTAGTCATTTATAGTCAATTTAAAAAATTCAAAGTATAGCATATACGAAAAAATCTAAATTTTTATTATATAGTTAATGTAGTTGTTTAATTTAATAAGTTAAAATTTAAAAAAGAAACTAATTTTTATCAAATATTTATTGTTAAAAATCATTAATTTTCATAAATTATTTAATCATATTTAGCAATTCCGTTATTTTTATTTAAGGAAACAATGAAAAACATTAATAAGTCATTTATGATTAGTTTAATAATCATTGTGGTGATGACATGTGACTACAAAAAAATATTGTAATTCTTCTCTTTTAATATATAGAGGATTTTTAAATCAAATTGCGACATAAATTTTAGAATATTATGAAGATTTTTTAGTGAGTTGCATCTTGCAGATTTTTTTTGTTTACTATAAGCTTCCAAATGATAAAATTTTAAAATAAATGTTGTCAAGGTCATTAAAAGATAAAAAAAATTTCACCCTCTTTCTGTTAATTTTTCATTTGATTGAATATGTGGTATATTTTTACATTTCAAATCAATTTCAAATTATATTTGGTAAATGTCCCTAATTTCAATCTTAATCCAAATGATTTCTTCTTTTAAAACAAATATAGCAAATCTTGGTAACTTGAACAGCATAAAAGTTTACTATCATTTCTACAAATAAATTTATTTTTTACACTTATAACTTTATACATATAATTATACTGATGTAAATGTATAAAATATATCAAAAGTAGGGGGTCCTACAAATATAGGTTGCATTGTTTCACATAAAACGGGTCAAGCCCAACCCTACACATATTTTCCTATTTATTTTTGAATATGAAATGCTGTAACTACAACTATGTTCATGATACCAAAATTGACAAATTATAGACATACAGTAATTTGATTAAGAATTAAACAAAATTTACGACAAGTACTATCTGAAAATTCCAAACGTTGCCACGGGAAAATACAGCCAATGGGTGCCAAGAAAATGCTGATATGAATACACTTATAATGAAGGGTTAAGCCTTCTTGGATTCCAGTGTGTAGTTATGGACTTAATTAGCTTTTTATCAACCCGCACGTTATGTTCATCTCAAAGGTTTTATAACTCATAAGTCATAAACCTCTATATATGTCTCTGAGTATCTCAAAGAAGAATTACACTTATCTTTAAATCTCTTCTCTGCATTTGTCTAGTTTACTCTAGTAGAAAATGGGAGGCAGTAAGAAGCGTGTTGTCTCTCAACCTTCATCTTCTCGTAGTATTGTCAAAGCAAATCCAAACAACAAATCTGTTTGCACTGAAGCACCAATTTTGTCTTCTTACAATGACCAGATCAGGCCGTTGCTTGACACAGTGGATCGGCTGAGGAACCTGAATGTGATGAAAGAAGGGATTCAGCTTCCCACCATTGTTGTGGTTGGAGATCAATCGTCTGGAAAGTCTAGTGTTCTTGAGTCCTTGGCAGGAATCAGTTTGCCTCGTGGGCAAGGAATCTGTACTAGGGTTCCTCTTGTGATGAGGCTTCAGGGAAGTAGCAGCCCTGAACCTGAGATCTGGCTGGAGTATCGTGACGAAGTTGTTCCAACTGATGAGGAACACATCGCTGAAGCTATTTGTGCAGCAACTGATGTGATCACTGGTATGCTCTGTCTCTCTCTCTCTTTTTTCATTTCAAAGATTGATTATTAGCTGACACATGGATACTAAGGAGTTATGTAATTACCATAGATGTTCCTGAAAGTATATGATGAGTGATATGTGGTTGTGACTATGATTAAGACTGTTATAAAAAAATATATTATGCTGCAGGATCTCATAAAGGGGTGTCAGACACTCCCTTGACCCTCCATGTGAAGAAAGCTGGTGCACCTGATTTGACCATGGTTGATCTTCCTGGGATAACTCGAGTTCCGGTCAACGGACAGCCAGAGAACATCTATGAGCAGATCTCTGGGATGATCATGAAGTACATCAAGCCTCAAGAGTCCATCATCCTCAACGTTCTGTCAGCTACGGTTGACTTCACTACCTGTGAATCCATTCGGATGTCCAGACAAGTAGACAAAACAGGGGAAAGGACTCTGGCTGTGGTCACAAAGGCAGACATGGCTCCTGAAGGTCTTCTCCAGAAAGTAACAGCAGACGATGTGAGTATTGGACTAGGTTATGTATGTGTCAGGAACCGTGTAGGGGAAGAAACATATGAAGAAGCAAGAAAGCAAGAAGAGATGCTTTTCAAGACTCACCCAATGCTCTCCATGATTGATGAAAACATTGTTGGCTTCCCAGTCTTGGCACAGAAGCTTACACACATTCAAACAACCATGATTGCACGCTGCTTGCCTGAAATTGTACGCAAGATCGGCCACAAGATGGAAACTGCTGACCTCGAGCTGAAAAAACTGCCAATGGTAATGGCTTCCACTGGGGAAGCATTGATGACATTGATGGATATCATCGGCTCTGCTAAAGAGTCTCTCCTAAGACTTCTCATTCAAGGAGATTTCTCTGATTACCCAGATAACCATAGCATGCATGGTACTGCTCGTTTGGCTGATATGTTAAGCAAGTTCTCAGATGATCTACAAGCAAAGCCTAAGCAAGTTAGAGAGTTCTTGATGGATGAGATCAAGGTTCTTGAAGAATGCAAATGTGTTGGACTTCCCAACTTCATTCCGAGATCAGCATTCATGGCTATACTTTCCCAACACGTGGATAGCATACATGAGAAGCCGGTTGAGTTCATCAAGAACATATGGGACTACATCGAAGTTGTCCTCTCATCAGTCATCGCCAAACACTCTGAAAACTTCCCTCAGATACAGTCTTCCATCAAACGAGCTGGTAGGAATCTCATGTGCAAGATCAAGGAGCAGTCAGTGGATAGAGTGATCCAGATCGTTGAGATGGAGAAGCTTACCGATTACACATGTAACCCTGATTACATGAAGTCCTGGACGGAGAAGATAGATACTCAGAAGAGCTTCGTCGACGCGGTTTTGAACGATACTACAAAGCTTGAGAGCTTCACTGTAAATGGGTTTGGGAATGTGAAGATATCACATCTGAGAGAGTATCATGCTCATTTGTTGCAACAGGCGTTTGATATGAAGATGAGGATTACATCTTACTGGAAGATTGTACTTGGTAGGGTTGTGGACAACCTGGCGCTGTATCTTCAGCTGTCTGTGAAGTATCTAGTCAACACTCAGTTCCAGAAGGAGATTGTGGCGGAGATGGTGGATTCTAAAGGCGGTGGAGGAATTGAGAGGATGTTGGAGGAGTCTCCGTCCATTGCGAGCAAGAGGGAGAAGCTGAAGAAAAGTATTAAGGTTCTGAAGGATTCCAAGGATGCTGTGGCAGCCATTGTTGATCAGAATTCTGGGTAGAGAGAGAGAGAGAGTTGAGTGAGTGTTTTTTAAAAGGTTAGGTTCTATGAGAGGTTGAGTTGGTCTTGGCCTCTTGAGCATTTTGTGTTTTTTTTTTGTACTTCGGATTGCTATGTTAAGATTTCTCAAAACATTTTTGTGTGGTAACATTTTCGGGTTGACTTTTGAAATGAATTCCAAGAAATTTACAAAATAGTAAGAAATCTTCAAATGTAAACTCAATACCATTATGAAGTAAAATCTATTTTCCCTTATTATGTTAAATAAACTTATATGTTGTTAGATATTCATTGGTATTGTAAATTGTCTTGTGGAGTGAATGGTTTTTTTCTTTTTTTTTTTTTTGTCACAATGTGGAGTGAATGGTTATATCGATAGAATACAATTTAAGTATTATTTTAATGTTTAATAAATAGCAGTAGAAATTGATGACTTCATTAAATTTTATGTATCACTAGATTTTTGACCCGCGTTTAAAAAGTGCGGATACTATTTTTGTTGTTTTATCTACAGATGGATTGATAATTCTTTTGTTTTGATGATATAAAATGTCACAAAATAAAGATCAAGCTATATGCGGGTATAAAATTTTTTATTTTATAATGTCTCAGAAATTTTTTTTATGTTTCCAAATAAGTTAACAATGGTTGCACCTGAAATGTGTACTTGAGAAAGATTGTATATTTAACAATTAAATGGTCCAAAATTTTTTTTAGTTTTGTGATTAATTCGTAAAATCATTTAGTTACAAAATTTCAATCGCTCAGTCCGACCTGCCCCGTCCAACATGCTCCGTAGCGGGTTGAGTCATTTTTTTGACTGAAAATTTTTGTCCGCCTGACCCGCAAAAAAATATATTTTTTGTAAGAATTTCTTTTATAAAATTTGAAAGAGAATCAACCATTAATGAACTCATTAGTATATATTTTTTAGACCCAAATAAAAAGATTAAAATACCATTAATAAAAAAATAAATTTGTTCATAAAATTAACGATAATTTAGAAAAACATAAATCATTCATTAAAAAGAATGATCATGTTTTAATGGTATTGATTACATAAACGATTTTAACTGAAGAATCTTCAAATGTTGACTTTTCACAAACCTTGTGTGAAATTTATAAAAAATATCAAAGCTCAATAAATCTTTTTCTCATTTAGGATTGGTTCAGTATCAATGTTTAAAATCATATTTGGAATTTTTAATCTCCATTGTCATCCTAAAGTTTCAACATGTTACACTCAACTCAATTATTTTCTAAAATATTGCAACTATCTTACCAAGAAATACATTTTTGTTAGAAAATCAGTTATACAATTAATTTTATAAAAATTTTAATGATTACATAATACATTTTACAATTATAAGATAATCAAATTTTGTTTTAGCTGCTAATAGGAAGTGACAGTAACATGTTCGTAACCCAAAATGCTGAGAACATTTGGAATCATCTTCAGTGCTTCATTTTCCTTATGCTGAAGCACATTCAGTTTGGTTCACTATCAAATGTCTGAGACCAAATTTCGAGTTATGAATTTGCATTTCATTGGACCAAATTCCATAATCATGTTCCTTGGTGAAGCGTGACCAGATTTGATTTTCCTCCCAAGGCAAACCAATTCGAGATATTTGGTGCATGCTTGTTTTATTTTGTGGTGATCAAGTCATCACCTATGTTTCCATTTCACTCCCGGTTCTTCGATATGGCTAAGGTGAAGGCTGTTCTCATAATTTTTGTACGTGGTTTAAAAAATATAGTTCGTCTTTTTGAATTGAGTCTCTATGGACTATATGTGTTAGTTTATTTGTTAAACTGAAAATATGAGGTTAGATGATTCAACATTTTTTGTATCATTTAAATATGATAAATGTATGTGGATGTTGCCGTGAGTATACATTTTAGTCGAAATCTTCTTATTGTATGTGGTCGGACACTCTCTAGACTATGACACTCTCCAGACATAGGTAATTTTGGCACTCTCCCGATTATTGGTGATCTGGCACTCTCTAAATTATAGGTGGTCTGGTACTCTCTAGACTATAGGTGAACGGACACTCTCCCAACTTTATGAGCCTTGTGGAAGTGAGTGTGTGTGAGTATGTGATTAGGATTTTATGGATATTTTAGGTGGCGTGGTTGATTCATGCTAAAGTTAAATTATTTATATCCGCAATGCTATGTCAAAGTCTATAGATTTTGGGTTTGGCATTCTATACGTCCCTAAGTAACTCATCTGTTCATCCCTCTTTCTTTTCCGTGCAGGTGAACATGACGTGTAGTCAGATATCTGGACAGTTTGGTGCCTTGGGAGCTTTGTATTTTATTTCGGTTTTATTCGATATTTCGATTTCTAAATTTGAAAATTATTTATTCCACTTTTATTTTATTAAATGTTACAATATTTTATTTAGACTTTATAAATCGGTTTAATTTGATATTTTGCGGGTAAGTACCACACCGTTCTCAAAAGAGGAGGAGACGTCTGTTTCAGAAACTTTAACATGACTACCAAAAAAAAGAGAAAATTATAAACCAAAGCACATTAAGTTAATGATGCATGCTACATCACTATTCCGGACATGACTCACCCCAGTGACCCAATACATGTTTCTTTCAGCTTCCATATTCTTTTTTTGTGTTGCATTGCCTCTTGTAGTGATATAGCATACATAGATGTTTATTCATCTGGCTCGTGACACAAACTTTTGGATTCGTATCTGGAGATAAAGCAATGCAGTCTACAACCAATCAAACCATAATCACATGTCTCTCCCTCTCAACATAAATTTCAATAAGTCTGAATCAATTCCCTATCTTTTCATATCTACTTTTTTAAACCAAAAAAAATTCCCATGATAATCATTTTAAGTTTTAACAGTGCAAATAGGTTGTACGATTTCACCTTAGAATATACATGTTTCTAGCAAAATGATATATAAAACAAACAAAGAAACTACTCCATTCATCAAAAGTGATGTTATGTACTTCAACCTGACGAGTATAGAAAGGGGGCATAGATTGTTTTGTATCTGTGGTTTTTTCTTTTAAATCCTCAATGTGTGTTCTCATTGAGCTAAGACGACGCTGATGTTGATCCTGATGATGAAGAGGAGGAAGAGAAAAATCCACTGTAATGAGAACCTTCAATCGCTCCCACTAATGTTCCTTGCATCCTCTTCCACATTCTCATTACTTAAGTTGATGATCTCTACACTTGTTGTTATGGGTCTCAACAGATCGGTTTTTAACTCCTCATCAGGAGGTAGTACAAATCGGCACACAGGACAAGAACTGTGAAGCTCAAGCCACGGTAATATACACAGTATTTGAAACTTGTGCTTACATGGCATCTCTTTAGCTTCACTTCCTTTCTCAAAGTCTTCAAACAAACTGAACATTGCAACGGCTCACACACTTTAACCGTTAGGAGATTCTCCACTGCTTCCTTTCGTTCTGGAAGAGTCCCTTGTCGCCTTATTGTATCGTTATCACCTATATTACGAAATAATTGGCCTAAGTCCTCATCTGAGTTAATCATGTCATGAGTGATTTGAATTAACTGCAATATTGCAGCTGAGCTTCTTTGTCTCCTCATCATGATAGAATCAACCTCCCTGTCTCGATGATGATTATTGACATTGCTGATGTCATATCCATCAACATCAGCATCAGCAATATTGAGGTCATCATTATCCACACCAAATTCTGTCCTCTGAAACCTTGTACTGAAGTCAATCTCTTTGTTTTGAACCTCTCTTAAGCTGCTACCACCATTAATCTCTTCGCTCATTTCCTCAACAAAACCGCTTCGGCATTAGGAACATTTGATATCAGCGTCAATGATCACAGCTTGTGAACACAGATGACACCAATACCTAGCCGCCATTGCCCTCTTCCTACTCCTCCACTCAACTCTGTCTCTCGTTTCTGAAACAACCACAAGAAGAAAAAATAAAAATAAAAACTATAAAGTTTCTATCTTTCATCCGTTTAAATTAAGTTTAAGCAGATCTAAATAAAAGGAATCATATTCCAGAAAAAGAAACTAGAATCATCGAATGAAACCGTAACGAAACAAACCTGCGAAAGTTGAACTTGAAAAGAGGAGAAGAAGGTTCTCGGTGCCAAATCCCCGACGATGAGCGAAAAGGAAGCAACAGGCGATTCTGCTCCAGCGGCTGCTATATCTGCTAATGTGACATAGAATATCACGTTTAAATACTCATGGTGTATGTTCAGGCCCGGCCCACCATGTGTGGACGCCAAAAGAAAAAAAAAAGCAACTTGGCTCATATACACAAAACAAATTAATAAAATGTAACATGGAAGTATGAGTTTTTTTTTTTGGTAACATGTTAAGCTTACCATTTTCTAAAAGGGATACAATGTTGTTGTTGAACAACTTATTACAAAGAAAATAAAAAGACAATAAAGGAGACAAACAGAAGGAGAACTAAGGCGGAAACAGAGAGTGCATGGAAAAATAAAGCTGCAGCAAAGAGACTGAACCTTCTGGCAGGTGGGGAAGTGACAGGAGACGATCCCTGATGGAGCGATCAACCCTGGAGATAGTCGCAGATTCGGATGATGATGACTGCCTGAAGATACGGTGATTACTTTCTCTCCATAAGTTGTAGATTACCGCCTGCATCAAGAGCTTAATGACTGACTGAGCGCCCACACAAGAGACTATGTGAGCTTGATCAACAATGAGCGCAACAGCAAAGGGAGAGACTGGTGGAGCTGTGAACATCCAGCCAGAGAAATGAGACCAAACAGCTACAGAAAAAGGGCAGCTGAAGAGGAGATGAGCATGCGACTCTGAAGCAGTAGAGCATAGAGGACATAGAGCTGGTGCTATCATTCCCCATGAGAGAAGCCTGTCTCTTGTAGGCAACCTGGATAGCATAGTCATCCAAGTCACAAAAGAGCATCATGGGATCTTTAAACCAAACAAGTTTACTCCAAGGGACCAAAGGAGCATGTTGTCTTATAAATTCCCAAGTAGCTTTGGAAGAGAACTTAGTAGCAAAGGAGGACTGACCACTCAGCCACAAGAAAATATCATTGCCTCGCAAATCAGACGGTGGTTGCATTGTTGAAAGTACCACCTGCAAAGTTTCAGCTTCGTCAAGCCTTGCAGGGGGAAGCATCCAAGAGCCATAAGGCGCCGCTACAGAAACTGAGGAGGATAACAAGATCTGCAAATCCCTTGTGCCTCTACTCCCAAATACAGATATTAGCGGACCAAGATCAGTCCACCAGTCAAACCAGAAACTAACTGCTTTACCATCTCCAATGTTACATCTCATCAAGCTGTTTAGCCTTGGTTTAAGGGACAACATACGATTTACTGAGGACGAGAAAGTGGTAGATGTGGAGACATTCCAAAAATTTCGGCCAGAAAAAAACATTGTTTTGAATCCAAGCAACCCAGATCGAACCTGATTCAGCGAAAAGGTTCCACACCCTCTTAAGCTCAAAAATTAACTGAAACTCCTCTAACTGCCTAAGACCAAGATCTCCCTCATTCTTTGGTTTACAGATATTTTCACAGCTTACTCGAGCATCCGTATCAGTGGTTGTCTTGTTTTTCCAAAGAAAAGACGCACATAAGGAGTCAACCTTAGCGTAAAACCTCTTCGGAAAATTGAAGACCGAGCTCCAAAAATTTACCATGCCATAAATAACAAACGAAACCAGCGTTATCTTACCTGCAAAGTAGAGGCTTTGGACAGTCCATGAGTTGAGTTTCATCATTATTTTCTCCAAGAATGGTTGCAGCGTGGCATAGCTGATTTTCTTCGGACTCAGGGAAAACCCAAGTAACGAGTAGGGAAAGTACCTTTCTTAAAACCAGATAAATCGCTGATGACCGCACCTTCAACGGCTGAGTCCTCCAAAAAAGATTTCTGACTTCTCAGAGTTCATATCAAGACCTGACCATTCTTTAAAGCCTTCCATAACGTTTTTAACACCAGAGATGGAGTGGCGTGAGCCATCAGTAAAAACAAGGAGGTCATCCACGAAGAGTAAATGAGTGACTCTAGGTGTAGAACACAACGGATGCAGACGAAAGTGGCCTACCTCAACTGCTCGCTCCAGTAGCTTGGAAAGTACTTCCATAACCATTATAAAAAGGTAAGGTGAAGTAGCATCCCCTTGCCTGAGCCCTTTTTTTCCCAGGAAAGAACCCTGCAAGCTCCCCATTAATAGCAATAGAGAATTTTGGAGTAGTAATACATTCCTTAATCCAGGTTATGAAGATAGGAGGGCATTCTTGGGCCTCAAGAATCTTAGTGACAAAATCCCAGAAGATTGTATCAAACGCCTTGCGTATATCAATTTTGAGCATGCTACTTCTGCTGCAGTTTGGAAAATCATACCTGCGGATCAACTCAGCTGCTAGAAGTACACTTTCTCCTAAGCTACGCCCCTTTAGAAAAGCAGACTGACATCTGCTAATGGAGGATTTAAGGATCGGTTTTAGCCTATTAGCAATGATTTTTGTGATCACCTTATAAACAATGTTACAACAGCTTATAGACCTATAATCATGAAGCTTGCAAGCGGAAACAGTCTTAGGAATAAGGGCGATGGTCGTAGTTTTTAGGTCTTTGAGCAAACAGCCATTCCTAAAGAACTCTACCACAGCTGCAACAACATCACCTCCAGTAGTCTCCCACAGGCTTTTAAGAACTCAAAAGAGTATCCGTTAGGACCGGGGCTTTTGTTCAGGGGCATAGTGAAGATTGTTCCTCTGATCTCTGTTTCAAGAACGTTTCTTTTGAGGTAGGCCTTCTGCAGGTCAGTACATCTAAAGGGTAGCAAATCTTCCAAGAAATCCAGAGATGCAGAGGAGACAGGGAGATCAGTTTGCCCTAGTATATTCTGAAAATACGAAGCTAAGTGCTCTTTTATATCCTCCATAGACCTCAAGAACTGACCAGATTCATCAATGAGGTAATGGATGTGGTTACAAGCATTACGCTGAGAAACTGTCTTATGATAGAAAGGAGTATTCCTATCTCCCACATCTGGCCAACAAACTCGAGATCTCTGTCTAAAATTTTTTTTTTCCACATTGAGAAGAGTGTTGAGGACAGCACGCTCTCTGTGTTCTTCAGAGGCCGTTGTAGGATCATGCTGAGTAAGAAGGGAGCGTTGAAGGTTCTCCACAATGACTGACTGACTGCTGCTTTAACCGTCCAGAAATCCCACTAAAATGATTTTTATTTAGCTGCCGCAAGTCTGTTTTGAGTAGTTTCATTCGTCAAACCAACTTGAATTGTTCGGAACCTTCAACAACAGCATTAGACCATGCAGTAGATACCACTGAAGAGAAATCTGGGTGGTCAATGAGGTGATGGTAGAACTTGAATGGCTTGCGTTGACGTCTGTTGAGAGAAGGAACATTGACAACACATGGAGCATGATCAGATTGGCCTGGCTGAAGGAAATCTGCGAAGGCGTCTGGAAAGACAGAGGACCAGTTGAGGTTGACGAGAGCATGATCAATCCTTTTGGATATAGGATCAGAATCATTGTTGTTCCACCATGTAAAGGGTACGCCTTTTGCTTGACACTCAAAAAGCTCAGCATCCGTAGAATTTGGTTAAAATCCCCGACAACAATCTAAGGGGAACTGCAAGCTGAGGTTGTATCATGGATGTAAACAAGCTCCTCCCATAATGAAGCCCGCTCATCAATAGTATTAACCCCATATACAAAAGTGACGGTGAAATTTATATTTTCCGCCATAAGAAATATCTCACAAGTGACGAAATGATAATAGTTTTATTGTATCGCAAAATTTAAATAAGGGTATCTGCAAAACAAAAATGATACTGTTATAAGATAAATATGTGAGAGATAGTTTATTATAAAGAGAGAGAAGAGAGATTGTTGAAGGAAGAGTTACAAAGAACAAATTTCATTCATTTATACAGAGATAACAATAGGATTTTCTTTGGATGCATAGTGACACAGACTCCACATATTAAATGTACACATGAAAAGATCAAAATTTTGGTATGTGTATATTTGACATTGATTCCTCACGTTTATAAGAGTCTCCTTGGAGACAAGTGTCACTATCATCTCTTACTTAATGTCTTTGTTGCCTCGTTAAAATCCAGTGGAAAAAATGATAGTAAAGTTAAAAGAATACAACCATGTAAGCTTCTCCTCGAATGACTAGTCATAGATCCTTCTGATGACACATTCCAATGTTATGAACATGTTTTCTAAATACCAAGGTAGGAAGTGATTTTGTGAAGAGGTCAGTTGCATTGTCGCATGATGGAACATATCTTACTTCAATCTCTTTATATCTCGAGCTCTTGAGTGTAAGAGAATAAATTTAGATGTATATGTTCCGCCTTATAGGATTTGGTATATTCTTCCTTTGTTTGAGCAACATATGCTGCATTATCTTCATATAGAATAGTTGGCTTCGTATTTTCGTCAATCCCACTACTTGTACAAATGTGTTGGCTTATTGATCTTAACCATACACACTATCTACTTGCTTCATGGAGTGCGATAATCTCATCATGATTTAAAGAGATGGTCATGAGTGTTTGTTTCTGAGAATGCCAAGATATAGCAGTGCCTCCGATCATGAAAAGTTTACACTGAAAACGTATCATGTTTTTGAATAGAGCTTTGTGTGGATTGAAAGATATTTTTCATCTGTAAAACCAACCTTTGACTTTTTAATCTTTAGGATAAAACAAGCATATATTCAGTGGCGGACCCAGAAGATTTTTTAACCTGAGTCATAATTTATAATTAAGCCAAAAATCTAACAAAAAAGCCCAGAATCCAATTAATATAAACTAAAAAGGTGAATACAAGGTGCAGCAAAGGGATTCGAACCCAGGGAAGGGGTGGCAGGGGAAGGACTAAGCGACCAACTGAGCTGCTTTTAATATGATGTACAGCCTAAAATTCATTCAATTATATTTAACCTGATGCAGCTGTACCCCCATTCCTCCATGTGGGTCCGCCTCTGCATATATTAATAGTCCATTGGAGGTAACAAAAGACACGTTTAATTCTGTTCCAATGTCTTCGTGTAGGAGATGAGCTGAATCTTACCAAAATATTAACAACAAATGATATATCAGGCTGTGTGAAATTTGCAAGGTACATCAGCACTCCGATTGCACTTAGATATACTTCATGACTAAGTACCTCTTCATTTTCTTTAGATGGTCGAAAT